TACATAAAAGTATTAAGGTGAGGTAATCGAAAAATGAATATTTTATTAGATATTTTATGGTTTATGTAAAATTAAAAAATTATTTCAAGCCTCATAACTCAATAAGTACTCAATGAAGAAATACTTTATTATAGTGTTTTGGAAAGCACTCGAGATAAGCTACAAAAATGTGTAATGAGAAAGAGTAGGTTCCATTTAAGAAATTGGAGACCTTCATGTAACCTTCAAATAACTTTGCAAGGTCAAATCAATGATACCATCTTATGGCCTCCTTCAAGCCATACAACTTTTGTCTAAAACATTTTTTCTAAAGTGCGTAGTTTATGAAATATTCGACCGTCCCGGAACTTTTGGTAGGCACTGTAGAAATGTATTACATGTATTTTACAAACACATATGCCTATATGTTGTGGATATACAGAGTACTACTACTTAAGTATCATGGCAAGCAAGAACGCGCAACAGGAAATCATTGATTTGACATTTATATAATTAAAGAGTTGTCCTGACAAGATATTTACATGATGAGTCATCATCACATAATATAAACCTTCGATTCGAAAAATCTTATACTGTGAAGCAGTATATTGCGCGTTAATCGCGGTATCAACACTGTTCGTAGAAGATAGCGTCGAGCTGATTTAATCCTTTGCATTTGATAGATTTTCGCATTTTAAAAAATTAGCAACTCGAAATGTTTCGATAAAAAAGTGATGAAATTTTTTACCGCCAACATAAAAATAAAACATATATAAATGAACAGATATGGAGAATTGTTGTAGAGAACTATTGCATTTTTCAAAAGTTCATGTATTTTTACATTATAGAAAACTTTATATCGAATATTCAATTATTTTAATCAATAATAGTTGAAACAATAAGAACAAGGCTTTACTACGAAGTGTATGTACCTAAATCGAACATAAACAGTTAGTGTCGCGGTACAAGACAGTGCACGAAATTCAGCTTCATCAATCAGTTTGAATTTAATCGTCCCAGAAGTAAATAGCACGTGTAACTCAGCAATGGAAAAACGAATAATTCCAAGCAAAACTAAGAATACATCATTTACAACAGAATATGAGTAAGGCAAGTAAATATGAAATCCGGTTTTTACCTCGCACAAATCATTGCATAGTTTGTCTAAATTAACAACGAAGTTTACATTTAAACATTTATTATTATACATTACATTGCAACATTTAGATTACAACTAAAACTGTCTTCATACGAATTTTATCATCAAAAATCAAAGTGATAAATATAAATTTGTGAAAAAAAGAAAGATAAAGGTGATATACTACAACTAGTTATTGCATGATAAATATTAATTAAAAAATATAATTTCTAAAATCCTGTGCACAATATTTTTAATAATATAATTTTTTACATCTATTTTGTTAATATAAATCTTTTAAAATATTTGTGTCCTCTATAGTACTGTAATAGTAAAGTTTAAGTGCATTTTATTTTAGGATATAATATATACACCGCAATACTGATATCATAATTGAAGATATGATTCTTATGTATTGTAAGTAGAGTCATATTAGATTAGAATATCAATATTGCAATGTATATATATATATATACAGGGTGACCCATTTTAACTTAGGCAGCCAAATAACTCGAAAAATAAGCACACTACGAAAAAATGGTTAGAATCAAAATTTCGTCATTTCGAGGGGGACGTACAATGACGTTAAAATCAGCCCCCGCACCCCTCCCCCTGGACGGTGAGGGGGGGCAAGTTTGAAATCTTAAATGGGAACCCCTATTTTTTATTACATATTCCTGTAGCTTATCTCGAGAGCTTTCCAAAACACTATAATTAAGTACCTTTTTATTAAGTACTTTTTGAGTTATAAGGCTTGACATAATTTCTTAATTTTACATAAACCATAAAATATCTAGTAAACCATTCATTTTTCGATTATCTTACCTTCATACTTTTATGTACAAAATAATGAGAGGAATCAATTGGTGTAAAGAAAACATACAGTTGTTTTTAAGAAAAAATATGGAATTGTTAATTGCAAATTACATATTTTTTCTTAGAAACAACTATGTGTTTTCTTTACACCAATTGATTCCTCTCATTATTTTGTACATAAAAGTATGAAGGTAAGATAATCGAAAAATGAATGGTTTACTAGATATTTTATGATTTATGTAAAATTAAGAAATTATTTCAAGCCTTATAACTCAAAAAGTACTTAATAAAAAGGTACTTAATTATAGTGTTTTGGAAAGCTCTCGAGATAAGCTACAGGAATATGTAATAAAAAATAGGGGTTCCCATTTAAGATTTCAAACTTGCCCCCCCTCACCGTCCAGGGGGAGGGGTGCGGGGGCTGATTTTAACGTCATTGTACGTCCCCCTCGAAATGACGAAATTTTGATTCTAACCATTTTTTCGTAGTGTGCTTATTTTTCGAGTTATTTGGCTGCCTAAGTTAAAATGGGTCACCCTGTATATATAACGATATCGTTAAAAGTTACAGAATAGGCCCCTAAAAATCTTAAAATAAAATGCACTTAAACTGTACTGTATATTAGAGATGACACAACTATTTTAAAAGTTTTAAATATTAAGAAAATAGATTTAAAAAATTATATTATAGACTTGAGTTAGCTTCAGAGAAAGATGAATCGATATTGTAGCTGTAATGAAAAAAGTATGTATTATATATACTATTATGCTATAATAAACAAATACATTTTTTGCTTCAGATGGCACGACCAAAGCGCCCAGTCGCCAAGCCATCTCGTTACAAGACGACTTCTTCGTCGGAGGACGAAGGAACTTCAAGACGAACGAAAAAAATCTTACGACCCACCACCAACAATGACAGATGCAGAGATCAACAAGGACATCAGCGATCTACGAGGGATTTTAGAGGATGACAGAAATACGGATAAGACTGATACTTTTTCATACTCTCAAAACACATATACGGAACAAAATTACTTATCACAAATGTCCACAAATACACTACCACACACATACACACATCAAAATACATATACACCTACTACATATACAACGCTTCCCATCACTTCGCACACAATCAGTCAAAATTTTGCCTTTGCCTATAAATTTTGTGCAGGAGGAAAAATTAAAATAAACCTTGTAATATTTAATAAACCTATATTTAAAAAGTAACGAAAATTGTAACGACACGTTATTTTTAAGTAACGGTAACGGTAACGAGTTACTTTTGAAAATTGGTAACGAGTAACGGTAACGAGTTACTTCTTAGAAAAAAGAACGGTAACGGTAACGAGTTACTTTTGAAAAGTAACTTTCCCAACCCTGGTAATTAATGTACAATAAGAAAATAGCTATTATACATCATGCGCACACATGCAAACACATGTACATATAAAATAATTATGATTATTTATGTATAGTTGCAGGTATGCGCAAAACGTTCACTACCAGCGAAAAAGACAACACGGAGAAAACAATGGACGAAAACAGAGGACGATGAAGAACAACGGAGGACGACGGAGGACTACGCAGGAGGACGGAGGAGGAAGGAGGACGACGGAGGACGACGGATATCGAAGAATGGCGGAAGAGAAAAATTAATCTGCATTTTTCAATGCAAACCCGTCTCAGTTGATACTGAAACTGCACGAGAAAGTATTCGGTCGTGAACTTGATATGTAAGATCGATTCAAATAATCGTGAAACCAAAATTGATTGTTTTAGTTTAACGGTTATTTGGATCTGATTATACACACTTAATTCGTGGCTGACTTCCTTGCGAAGTTTTAGTAGAGACAAATCGACACTTTTCAGTGCCTTTACATTGATTCGTTGGAAATCATGGTTATAGCAATCAGCATTTTTCAATGCTATTTTAATATTCATACAATTTTTCTGCAATAATAACTATAAGTTTTTTTGGTAGTTAATATTACAGAAATATTTTGCACTTATATCATTATTCATTCTTCGTAATTTTTTTTTTTATATCAATATGTGCTTAAAAACAGTGCAATATACGGCGAAAAGAAATATTGAACGAAAAGACATTATATTTCTTTCCTTTCTCTTTTTTACTTAACAATTTATAATCTTGTGTTTTTTTCTGTTTAGATCTGCCGGATTCTGAGAAGATCCTATACTGAGAAGAAAAGTGGACTTTAGTGACCGGAAAAGGATACATATATATATTATATATATTTTTTATAATTACTATAAAAGTTTTTTATATTATAATTTATATGTTTATGTACCTTTTAATGTATCTTTTGTATTCGTGTTCTTATATACGTATATTTGTAAAATAAAACGTTAGTTTTTATGTACAAAAAATTATTTATTTCAATTTATTTCTACAAAAAATAAATGGAAGAAAAAGTTAAATCGTCAATGTGATGTTAATGTAGTAAAAGAAAAATATTATGTATAAAGAGGAAATAAGTTAGTTTTTTTTAAATAATTATTTTCTTCTACATTGGATGTTAATATTCGTATGACTTATACGTGTGTAGCTAATTCATTACTTATATTTATATATAAATATTTTTTAAATAAAAAAATATTGATATTTATTATATTCAAATTATTTAAAATTATTCTTCTCAAACAAAATTAATAGAAAATGAGATGAAAAATATAATTTGATTTTTCAATATCAATGACGTCACGATTTAAATTCTACAGAATCTGTTACATTTCTGCTGTCGGCATATTATGTCAGCAGACTCTGCTCGGTTTCTGCCGCCAATCTGCTACTAAGTTATGCCGGCAGAATCTGTTCGATTTTTGCTGCCAATCTGATAACTGATTATGTTAACAAGCTTTGTTATATTTCTGTTGACATTCTGTCGACATCACATGATATATCAGAACCTGCATCAATTCTGTAATCTTTCTGTCGACAACAATTTGTAACAGATTACCTGACAAGATCTGCTTTAGCAGACTTGGCTATTGGGGTATATATATATATATATATATATATATATATATATATGTATATATATATATATATAATCTCATATAAAACTTATCATAAACAAAGAATTCACAAAATATATATTTAACTTCTTTTAATATTTATGTGGAACTTGTTATTTCAGATATTCTTTGTAAGATTACCTTTGCGACATTAACTCTAGTACCTTTTGAATCATAATCGTTGTAGTAAATTAATTCGCACAAGTTTTTTGTAGTTGGTTCGCTTTCCAAAATTTCTGCCAGCTTCTTATAAAACATCATGGTAATTTCGTTTTTGTATTGCTTGTATACAATAGATTCTGGATGACTGTGTTGTTGCACTTCATAGAATGTCAGCAATGTTGTTGCACCTTCCGCTACTACATATATTGGACTAGCACCAGAGTTTCTTCCATTGGGATATATCTTGTAAACGTTGTTATGATATGTTTTTCCTCTTAGGCCAGCTCGATCGCGTTTCTCCTCTTCCAATTCGCCCGCAATCTCCATCCACTGATCCGACATCTCCTTTAAGTGTGGCGAGATGTATCCTGACGATGGTATCAGAATAAACAGCTTGTGCACTGGGAAAATTACTTCGTGTTTGTCTTCAAAGTTTTCTATCCTTTCAATAATGCTCTTGCTATCGGAGGTGCCGCGATTCGGTAGGATAAATCGCAGATAACCGTAGTAGAAACCGTAGGCCATACCCGTGCCATGATCCAGACCTTTCATGATGTCGAGATCGAGCAGCGGTCCTCTCTCCCTCTTGGCCAGATCCGTTATCTTCAGTAAGTAGAAGGAGAATATCATTGACGGCACATAGACGTCGGGACCGAAATCCCATACGTGACTCAACGGGCATTCTCGAACGATCGTCGTCGACGTGATAAGGAATAAAAACACGCCGATGAGAACGACCACCGCGGACGCGATGTTCAGAATAAAGTAATAACTGATGATGGATGAGAAACTTTGTCTGGACCGCGGATCCATGTTCGTCAACGAGATGACCGTCTGACACAGATGCAGCATTACGTCACAAAGTAGAAAGATTACGAGGAATACGGACGTAGTGAGGCACGTCGCTATCACCGACATCATCATCCCGTCTTTCATCACTTTGTACTGTCGCCTCTTACTCGCCATTCGAGTTGTTATATCAAATCAAGTGACGATTAATTGTGAAAGTCGTTTCTCAAGTGCAATATTCTATATCAATTCGTATGACTATAATGTGTCAATTTATTTGACCCGGATATCTTTTTAAGAATGGGAGTCCGAAGAAACATATTACTTTGTCGAGTCTCAATAGGAAGAACTTCGAGTGAGCCTTCGGCAGTTCGTTTGACACGAGAAACAACGCGCTGGATACAGACTGTAAAAACATGAGACAATCCAACATTATAAGAGAGGTGAGTGAAAGAAACAATCATCGATGGTCTTTCGATTTTTCTATGTCTTGACGTAAATTATATTTAGCAAGAATATCGGAATATACGGAGTAGGGAGATAACAAATCCGCAGACATCTAGCAGCTCCCAGGGCAGCTTGGAATCTGTCATATGTCACGCAGCACAAGACGAGACGACGACGCAGAAACAATCTTGGAGCAAGGAGGAGATCGAAAAAACATTATCAAGTCTTCCGAGAGGCGACATAGCTTTATCTCTGATTCCTACTCTTCATGGCGATGCTCTACAAAAAGTTCTGGAAGAATTTCAATGTGTAACTCTCAACAAAAATGAGGATCACATATCGTTGCCCACGTCCGCAGATGAGTACGGAATGATATTAGCATTTCTAATTTATGCGCGTTGCATTAAGATAGAATAAATAAATAAAAGTAAATAAATTCAAATTTTCTTGAAGATCGCCAGTAAATAAATAAAAGAAGTAGTTAAAATCGATCAACACTGGCAATATTTATTGAGGTAAAAAATCACAATCACGATGTTTCGACCATAGATTTTGGTCCTTTTCAAGTGAACTACAAAAAAATTATTTCCAGTAATACAACAATAAGAAAAATTAATGATACTAAATTACATAGATGTTCAAATAAGATTTGAACAACAAGTTATATACATACAGTAATTAAATTAACAGTTCTATCGTGAGAAAAAAGAAATCACTTCGTCAAGATTATCATGTCACTGTCTCCATCAACACACAGAGAAAGACAAAAGTAAATAAATAAATAAAGATAAAAAAATTCAATTTTAAATAGAATTTATTATACTTCTTATAATTTATTGTGTGTATATTCCTATTTTATGTTATAAATTTCTGTTGATAAAAATTGTTTTTGTTGTCAAAAAATCATTCTATTTCTACATTGATCATTTTATTTAACTTATTTATTTTACATATCATAAGATGCTTTATGTAAGTAAAATAATAAAATATTTAATTATAAAATTTAATATTTTTATATTTTATAATTTAATATTTTATATGTTAATTAATTATCCAGTATAATTAACTTAAAACATGCAGAATTTACATGCAGAATTAAGGAAGAGACTATATTGGTTGACGAAAATAGAGCAGCGGCTACCATGACTCCGGTACAACTACTTGCAGAATGGCCGGATACGTGTCTACTGATTTCTAGCTGGCTGGGTCATATAGAAATAGTTAAGGCTTTGATAGAAAAAGGCGTGCCAGTTTCTACGAGAGACAATGATGGAAGATTTATGTCACTTATAATATATAGACGTCTAAAAATTTATCACAAAAAATTGAAATCAAACTTTTGAAAACTATAATTCATTTATTATGATAGTAATAATTTATACTAGCTAGGAATAAACTATCGGATACCTTGATTTATTAGTCAATTAAGCCTGTAATTATAATAAATCATTGGTAAAAATTATACATTTCCACTATCTCCAGGACACTGCTACATCTGGCAGCATGTACCGCGTCCACGAAGATCGTGGAGGAGCTACTGAAACATGATGCTGATTCATGTGAGTGGGATTTCGAGAAGAAATATACCCCGTTGCATTGTGCTGCCGTAGCTGGTTGCGTTGATACAGTTAAATGCTTGATCAAGTCAAAGGCAGATGTGGATGCCAGAAGAAGTCCACTTTATTACGCCGTGTTGAACAATGCTGTGGATTGCGTCGAAACTCTACTGCAAGCAGGTGCTTGTCCTGATAATTCACAGGTGCTTCTTCATCACAACCACAATTTAAACATAAATTTAGTGGAGAAGTAATATTATAAACCAAAAATTGCTAGTGTAAAATTAAAAAGGCAAACTACTAATTATCTGATACAGCGAATTATGTAGAAACAATTAATTTCTTGCTAAAGTAACGTATCTCTTCCAGATATATTTGAGATATCTTCAATGAATTAATTATGATTCGTTGATACAAATATGCCTTTGCATGTGACGGTTACTTTGGGCAATGTTCATTGCATCAAGTTACTGTTGGATCACAATGCGGATGTGACAGTCAAAATGGAACTCACGAAATCGACGCCTCTACACTTGGCGGCGAATAAGGGTAACGTGGAATGCACTAAATTAGGATGCCTGTTGGATGCCGGCGCGAGGACCGATTCAAAGAATGATCAAACGGCGATGCACTTGGCAACGCTCGCTCAATCTGTAGAGACGATAAAGGAGTTGATTAAATTTGGCGCAAATGTGAACGCAGAGGATAAGAAAGGACGCACTCCTCTACATGCTGCGGTTTCAAGTGCCCGGAAAAGCAGCGAACTGATCAAGATTTTAATAAAAGTTTGTAAATAAAAATTCCTTTAACTCACTGAATAGAACACCTTCTTTTAATTAAAGTAATAAAAAAAATTAACTTTACATTTTAAATAAATTTTTTTAATAAATTACGTTAAGTAATTCTATTTATGTAATAAAAAAATTTAAATAATGATTTTTATTCTAACAACAGAAGTAATAAAATTATTTTTTTTTAAAGGCAGGTGCATCAGTTAATAAGGCACACAAGTACGGTTACACACCGGTGCATGTTGCGGCCTTCAACGAGGAATCGCAGACGGTGACGATGTTGTTGTCAAAAGGTGGCGACGTAACAGCGCGTTGCCAAAGACGGCATCACCGCTCTTAGCATCATCGTACGCCGTACATACGCCGCAGCTGTTATCGCAACTTACGACGCGTCTCGATCAAGCAGTCACATTACTCGATCACGAACGTTATATATAGACTGTGAACTGCGAATAGATTTTCGACCATTAGTCGCATTGAGCTGTCGCAACGAAACGGACCTGATGCTCTGTCCGGTGGAGGTCGGTCAAGTTCACAGCATCCTAAAGCATCCATTATGCGATAGTTTTCTCCATCTAAAATGGAAGCGTATTCGCCAGTTTTTCGTGCTCAATCTTCTGTTCCATTTAATCTTTGTCGCTTTCTTCACCGGCTTCGTCTGCGCGACATATTTATGGGACGAAAAACAGTTGAACAGAGCCCTCTTCCTGCCAGTATTAACTGTTACCTGCTTATTTGCGATTAAAGAGATCTTCCAAATTAGCTATGATATTTACTATTATACTAAACGCTGGGAAAATTGGTTACAGTGGAGCGTGATAGTGGCATCCAGCATCATCTTGATTCCTCCACCTCGTCCATGGCAATATCACGTTGCTGCCGTAGGTATTCTGCTGACCTGGATGATGATTGTGATCGGTTATTGTCCCATGTTTTATCTCTATTTACAAATGCTTACGCGAGTGTCCATCAATTTCTTCAAATTTCTCACAGCCTACTTTTGTCTCATAATTGGCTTCTCTCTTAGCTTTAATGTGCTGCACGGCAGTTACAAGTCCTTTACTGATCCGTTGCTCAGTATGCTTAAGATAATAGTTATGATGTCCGGTGAGCTGGAATTCGAGGACGTTTTTCTCAATGAAGAAGCCGCTTAAGTATCCTGGCACGACGCATGTTATGATTCTTTGCTTCGTTATCCTAGTGACAGTGATACTAATGAATCTAATGGTTGGTCTGGCTGTGTGGGATATCCAGGAAATATGTAGAATGGCGGATTTCAAATTGTTGCTATTGGTGCATCATGCCGAGATAATAGGTCGTTTCGGAAATATGCTTTCTAAGTTGATTGATACACTCATGCGTGTAAAATAATACAAGCGTGCAGAAAGACTACACTATTGTTCCATTCATCGCAACAGTGTGCTATACGTATTCGGCCGAATGATCCGCGCGAAAAGTGTCTGCCACGAGAGCTCATTCAGTCGTTATATCGTCTGGCCGACGAGCAGAAAATGCGACGAGGAACTTTCCGCGGTGACGCGTCATCACCCCAAAACCACGTCGCGAAGGAATCGAAGTATGTGGGATTTAACAGGACGTACAGCAATGTCGGTAATCAATAGCAATTGGACGATCTCGTGGCCGAGCTAAAGGAATGTTCCCATGACATCAGTATCAGGTTGGATAGCTTGACGAACAAGATAGAGAGTTTCGCCCGACAGCAGATTTGACGATGCATTTGTAACATTACATCAAAAAAATTATATTCTTAACTTAAGAATATGCCACTTATCTTTAGAATATATACCACTAAAATAAGCGCCAAGAGGATCCTATTATGTTAAGAGGAAAATCTCCTAAAGAGATATTTTTAATACACAGAGAAAAATATTTCTTTGGATTTAATAAATTTTGTTGAAGTCAAATAAATTTAATTATTGGTGTAAAAGTTTTTTCCTCCTAATTTCAAATAATCTGTTTAATATTCTGAATCCCAACAAGGAATTCAGATTAAATAAATTATTTTAAATTTATGCACACAGAAAACCTATGTGTGAGCAGCGTCCCCCTTGATATCAGTTTAATTTCAAGCTGAATGTAAAACTTGACGCTACTGAATAATATACAAATAAATTTGGCAGCGTGGAGTTTTTTAATAATTAAAATTTTTTCAATTACGAGCTACAATCAATTTCATCGTTGAAGAAATCGGGATTCTGACTTTTACGACAAAGATGTAATAACTTTCGATGAAAATATAAACATAATTTTTCTTCATCTAATTATTTATCAGCAGTCAATCACATCTAACACACACACACACAGACAGACACACACACACACGCACACGCACACGCACACGCACACGCACACGCACACACACACGCACGCACACACACACACACACACACTATTGATAAACATAAAATAAAATCGCACTCTTTTATTCTCGACGTAATTTTCTATTTAAATATATTATTAATTTTTGTAGATAATTATGACAACTATTTTACACAATTTTTTTTAATACAGCAATTTTTTATTAAAATAATTTTTTGTAAAATAGTTTTATACAATAATGTTTTACTACTGATTGTGAGATGACTCGACTTTTTTTTTTTACCTTTTTTTGAAAAGGTAATTTTTTTAGGATATCACTAATTTTTGTAGACAATTAAGAAATAACTATTTTGCACATTAACTTTGTTTAATGTAACATTTTTGTAGTTTAAATAATATTATGTCTTGTGTATAAAACAGTTTTTTACAATAACATAAAATTTTTTACAATTTAATACTGACACATGATTAACTTTTTTATACTTTTTAAAAAAGTAATTTTTGAGGATATGTTAAATATCCAAATAAATAAGCAAAGAATCCGCTACCAGCCCCGTCATTTCATTAAAATATGACGATCTTCTCTACTTAATATACTTTTTGCAAACTTCGTAAAGTTAAAATATTAACAAAGCTACATTCTTCAATTAATTACAGGTGAAGTTCACTTTAATAAAATTTTAATTTTAGGTTTAGTTACAAACCTTCGACATTTTCAATGAAGAAAAATCATCTCTAAATAACTTTAGAAATCTGTTATTAATGTTACTAGATAGTGTGATATTGCAGTAGATTGTATATAGGATGAGTTTTATTTCGTGTACCAATTTTTTTTATACGAGGGATTACTGTCCAGGTAGCAAGCACACGTCATTTTGACGTTTTAAACTAGTCATTTTTGGTCATATATCATCAAAATGACTGATTATTGTTACATGACTTTATATTGACGTCTTGATATAACATTATTTTGACGTCATTTTTCAATCATGAAGTGACGATTATTTTATTATGAATGTCATTAGTTAGTACATCGATCCCATAAAAAAAATCTTTCAAAATTTTTTATATAACATTACTTGTTTCGCGATCAGACTTTTTATATATTTATTGTATATATATATATATATATATATATATATATATTTATATTTATATATATATTTATTCATTTTTATATTTATTATATTTATATTTATTATATTATATTTTTATATTTATTATATTATATTTATATTATATTTATGAAATAGAGAGATGAATTGTAGTTTAATATTACTGGCAATAACGAAAGAAATATTACTGAGATATTACTGAAATAGTCAAAATTATTAACTGATTCTTTCAATAAAATATCACTGATTTACAGCGCTGTACTTATAATTACTGTAATCAGTGATTATTTACTGTTTTTCAGTGATAATACACTGATTCACTTTTAGAGAGTGCTTTATTCGACAACATTATTCAATATATTATTATGCTAAGAGAAAGACGTCAAAATGCGGTACATATCATGATGTCAAGAATCTGTGACATTAGACCGTCACTTTTACGTCTTAAAAACGTCAATTCGTGACGTCAAGAATAGTCAGTGAATGACCAATTTGAAACATCAAAATGACGTGTGCTTCCTACCTGGGTGATTGCAATTGCAATAAATTAATCGATACATAGGTAGCAATTATTTGGATACGTATTACATTCGATATGCATGGTCGATTCAAATAATTGACATCTATGGGTACTTTCCGATTCACACATGATGCGCATAAAGTGACAGAAAATGTATAATATGCGTGACATGAACTATACATTTTAAGTATACTATAATAAAGTATACATTTAAAGTATACTATGTGCCGATCAATTCATTCCAATTACAGTTGGTAATTTCTCGCATGATAAAAAAATTATATCTCTCATCGTCACGAGAACACAGCGTCTCTTTCGTCAAATGTGCGAATCATACAAGAAAAATATGTGAAAAATGTAGTCACGACGGTGACGATGACGTATCTTAATTAAATAAAAAGTTTCACATTGAGACTTTGCATCGTTATATTTCTGCTTATAGAGCATATAGAGCAAAAATAAAGACACTTTCCTGATATAAATCAAAC